AAAAACAATGTTGACTTGTTGTCTAACAGATGCATGGAGAGACATAGATAAAGCTGAATTAATTCAGCTGTTCATGTTATGTTATATACATATATATCTTTTATGTGCAATTTTCTTGAAAGCCATATTTCTGTTTAGCCATATATAAGTGGGAAAAATATACGTGATATCGATTACTCTCGTTTTAATGTCTATAATCACCATTTCCAGCCGAGAGTCTCCAGTAAATACACCAACGAATGGTCTGAGAGGCTGACGGACAGACAAATAGCATTAAATCGATGGGGATTTTCGAGTCGATTTCGCCTGTTTGCACACATTTGGCCAAGAGCATTTAGTTGGTTTTCCCATTGTTAATGGGCACCGAGAGGAGCATATTGTAGTTGTTCAAATCGGCAAAGTTCTGGCCTCAAGTAGTTGGCAAGTGGTTAATCAACTTTCAATGAGCGACGTCGATAATTCTTGCAGCTGTTGGCTGCTAATTTGCCTAAAAACTTGTTGCGCGGAAAGAAACTCGACACAGTGAGTGCGATATATATACATATACCAATACATATACATATATATATATATATATATTTAGTAGATGTATATATTTGTGTATATTTATGTTTGTATAGCAGTAGCGTGAAACGTGGAACAAACGGCAACAGTGCAAACAAAAAGCAGACAAAAACACAACTTGAAAGTGGGTCACGCGGCGCGTATTTCTTATTTCTTATTTCTGACCGCGCTGAGCAGTCAATAGATAGATAGACATACGGGCTGAGTGTGCTTGGCCGCGCCCCCAACCCGCCGCACCCTGTCATGATTCGCTTCGCACATTGTTTACAAATGATTGCCAATTTTCCTGCGTCTCCGCGGTGAGTTCGGGTTAGGAAAAGTCGCTGTTGGGCAGCTGCGCCGCCACCTGCGCAACTTTCTTTGCTTTTCCCACAAGATCGCGGCGATCGTGTTCGCATAATTGGCCAACAGCTGATACCTGTTCCCAGTTCTCAGCGCATAGCTCACAGTTCGCATCGCACAGCATGTAGCCCCAGCTCCCAGCTCCCAATTTGAGTCTATTTTCTGCACGGGTATTCTTAGCTGGGGCGACGCACGGCGTAAATATTTTGATTCTGCGAACATATGCAAATACGGCGATGACCTAATGGAATCTGTGACAAGTTGTGCCAACTGCCGCGTTTTGCATTAATCAGCCCGATTCGGTTTTCGCTTCTCATGCGGCTCTTTATGCAAACAGTACCTATTGATAATTAGTTAAGATGGGTATTATCATTTTAATCCAACGGTAGACAAAAGACCCTTACGGGATTATAATGATTCGTATATAAGAATATCTGATAAATGACAGATTCTTGTATCATCAATTAGTCTGACATCGTCTATATGATTGTCTTTAATAGCTAATGTCCACGAGAACTAAATTAGATTATTGTTTAAGAACACGT